GCTTCCCTGGCATTTTTACTCACAACCTACAGCTGCAGGCTGGTGAGGTGCTACACATTCTGAGAGCCAGGCCTTGCCTGGTGGTACACACTCAAAACAGGATACAAAAATGACTGACATTTGGCCCAAGGTTTGGGGTGGGGGGAGTGTTTTTGTTTTCAGTAGGCTTAAGAGTAGGTCTGATTACCCAGAGAGGGAACAAATTCACCTGAGATGGATCTCTTGTTATTTGCAAAGTTGTTGATTCCAGCCCTGGATTGTTTATAGTTTCTAAACACTTAGGTGCAGGTGTGGAGGAGCCATTCTACCTTGGGCAGGCCTGACTTGCCTGGGGTCTTCTGCCACCTGGGGATATGATTACACTTCTGAGGGCCCATCCTCAACCAGGCTGGTGCTCATCCTTGCAGGGAGGTGCTCATCCTCCTGTGGGAGGACCCTGACTGTCTCTGAGGCTGGGCCTTCACTGGAGGAGCAGCCACCTCGGTGTCTGCTCCAAGTGTGAGGACTGAGCCCAAGGAAATCTCTCAAAGATCACAGATACAGACATGGTGCTGCTGGGAATATGACTGCAGGACACTTCCAGCCCCAGGGCCTTCCTTTTCCCTCCCCCAGACCCAAGGATGGGGCAAGTCCAAAGTCAGTCATGACCCCAGCTGCTCTACGTTCAGCTTCGTGGAGACCCACATGCCCGAGTACATGTCTGTAGGCAGAAGGACCAGACACTGGTAACGCAGCTCCTTGCCTCGGTCCCACCAACAATGAGGTTCTAAGTCCTCAGATACATTAGCAGCACAGTAGATGCTCCTTGGCTTTGCCAGCAATCTGACTTCCCTCACCTATAAAATGGGCTTGTAACACTTTTACCTCTCCTTTCCCTCTCTAACTCCCAGGGCTATGGTTAAAGACCAAAGCAACAAGTGATAAATGAAAATGCTTTGTGTGTTGGGGGGCTGCTGGTCACCCAGTTGTGTCCAACTCTGCAACCCCATGAACTGTAGCCCACCAGGCTTCTCTGTCCATGGAATCCTCCAGGCAATAGTACTAGAGTGGGTTGCCATTTCCTTCTCCAGGGGATCTTCCCAACCCAGGGATCAAACCCAGGTCTCCTGCATTGGCAGGCAGATTCTTTACCATCTGAGCCACGAGTGTGTTGTTCGGATACTGGCTACAATGATGATTCAAACAGAGTGCTCCATCCCCAGGTGGCTTTGATGGGTAGGATGAACATAAACCCAGTCAGCTAATCAGTCCTTGCAAGGATTTCTCCAACACAGATTTTGAAGGAGACTGCCTTTCTGCCAGCTGTGGTGAGTGCTGAGTCTGGGCTGCTAGTGGCCACCTTGCGATCCCCATGAGGAGAAGACAGTGTTAGAGGTGGAAAGAGACACACAGAGCCCCCACTACAACATCTGAGCCCCTGGATGCAGCTGTGCCTGAAGCCCAAATCCACTATGGGATTCACTGTTATATCAACCAACTTCCCTTTGAATTGCTTAAGCAAATTCAACTTGAATGTCTGGTATTTATGACTGAAGGAATTTCAACTATCTCTCAGATGCATTTTAATAATTAATATGTTAGTTTTCTAATCATAAATTAAGTTTTTATGGGAAAAATTTTGATAACTTTTAAGTTAGTACACCTATCAGCAACATGAGGAAGCAGAAGCATTGAACAGAGAAATCAAGCAACCTGGATTCTCTGCCAGTTCCCATGGGAACTGCTGTGTAAGTCTGAGCAAATTTCTCAACTTGTCTGAAAGTGAAAATCACTCAGTCATGTCCAGCTCTTTGTGACCCCATGGACTGTAGAGTCCATGGAATTCTCCAGGCCAGAATACTGGAGTGGGTAGCCTTTCCCTTCTCCAGGGGATCTTCCCTTGAACCTGGAAAAATATACACAGTATATCCATGACAGGGTAGGCTAATTACAATAAAGTCCATGGAATTCTCCAGGCCAGAATACTGGAGTGGGTAGCCTTTCCCTTCTCCAGGGGATCTTCCCAACCCAGGGATCAAACCCAGGTCTCCTGTATTGTAGGCAGATTCTTTACTAGCTGAGCCACAAGGGAAGCCCAAGAATACTGGAGTGTCTGGACCTCAAGAAAATAAAGAACTGGAGTTAATGATGTCTGAGGTGTTTACAGTGCTAAACATTTTTGATTCTGTAAAAGATAACCCAATTAGTCTGATATAAAGTATTCTTAATAAAGGTTTTTTAAAATAAATGTTAAGAATAAAGATTTTGAAAAAGAATAAAGACAACAATTTCAAATTGATGTCAAGCATTTATAATAAAATCCTTTAACAAGGACATATAATATGTCCTTATACAGTCCATGGGGTCGCAAAGAGTCAGATGACTAAGTGACTAATACTTTCACTTTCACTATATACATGTAAAATATTCATTGCATCATTGCTTAAATTGGAAAAAAATCCCTGGTGGCTCAGATGGTAAAGAATCCACCTGCAGTGTAGGAGACCTGGGTTCGATCCCTGGGTCGGGAAGAGTCCCTGGAGGAAAGCATGGCAACCCACTCCACTATTCTTGCCTGGAGAATCCCCATAGACAGAGGAGCCTGGCAAGCTACAGCCCATGGGGTCACAAAGAGTTGGACAAAACTGAACAACTCAGCACCTGAGAAACGAAAATTGGGAACAGCTTGGTTAAATAAGTTGTAGTACATTCATACAATGGAATGCCATGTAATTGTGGAAAAGAAATGAAGAAATTCTTTATATATTGACATGGCCAGTGCCTGAGGCACATTTTTAAGGGAAGGGGCAAAATGCAAGATGGTCATGCTGCATGAAAAGAGGAAGGGAAAGTCACACAGATGTAATTCCTGTGTGTGTATAACCTGTCTCTTAAAGAATCCCCAAAGACTGGTACCACTGATGCTCTTTGGAGCCTGGGTCTTATTTTTCATTATAAAATATATCCTTTTATATCTTCGGAATGTGATTGCATTACCTACTCAATTTTTAAAAATTTTTAATTGAAAGGGTAAGAAATGGCAAATACTATTACATATTGCTTGATCCTCATGAGGAAGCTGCAAGGCTGGCTAGGAATCCCAAGTACCACTGTGCTATTTACAGATGCAGAAATACACCCAGAGGGTTCACGTACTGCAACACAGAGACACATTCAACTAGCAACAGACGCCCGAACAGTCCCCTCACTCAAGTCCACACAGCTGACGGGCATGGGCTCACCCTCTCACTATAACACCTACTGCAAAGCTCTGACTAGGGTGGAATTAAAATGGGTCCAGGTAAAGCTCAAGTTAGGGATTACCTCATCACTCATCAGACTACTTCCAGATCTGGAACAAGAGAAGAGGGAACCAGCACCTCCAAAATAAATTGTTCGTATTGATAATTGTTTAATAAAGGCATGTAGATGGCATGGAGTCATGCCATCCTGACTTGTGGTCCAACCACCTGTAAATCTTCAAACCCCAACATGTGTTCTGAGGATGCAGTCCTTGGGATTGGGTAAAATGCAAATTCTAACTCAGCAGGTCTAGGGTGAGGACCAAAAGCTCCCAAGTGATGCCTATCCTGATGGTCAAGACCACACTTGGAGTGTAATTCTAGAACCATACCAGCTAACATGGGCACCACTAACCACTAACAAGTGGCAGTCAAGCACTGAATGCAGCTAGCTTACAATGAAATGTGTTAAAAGTTTAAGATACACACTGGAATTAAAAAACTATACCAAAAAAAGAAAAATATCTCATTCATAATTTTTATACTGATGACATGCTAAAATGATATGATTAAGTTAAACAGAATCTACTGTTAAAAATTACTGTCACCAGTTTTCTTTTTCTTTTTTTTTAATGTGGCTACCTGAAAATGTAGAAAGATGCATGTGGCTCACAATCCTGCTCCAGGAGACTTGGTTCTCTTATAACCTGCATCTCAGGGAGTTTGGGACCACCTCAGTCATCACCCTGGAGTGTCTGCAAGAGTCTGTAAATGGGGCAAGGCCATATGAGAATTTGAGTGGAACACCTACCCTTAACAAATAAAACTTTTACACAAGTGAAACCTGGGTTAGAGTGAGCAATTGAAGCATGCTTACCAATGAAACTGTGAGAAAGCATCCGAACAATGGTTTAGTAGAGATTTTTCAGAAAAAATACAGCCTAGGGAGCCAGTGTGGAAAGGCAGGCATGAGGTAACATGCCACCCTTGCCAGGTCTGTGTTGTTTGGTGACAGTGGAAGGGGGCAAGTCAGCTCTGCCTTTACTCCATTTAACAGCCTGTTGCCACCCTTCTTGAGTCACATCCCAGCTCCAGCATCCCCCAAAGCAGAGGTTCCCTTAAAGCTGAGGACCCAGAGCCATCACTTGGCCTTGCTGCAGCCCACAAGGTCTGAAGACAGCCATCTGCTCAGAAGTGTAGTAACAGATCAGTAAAGAAACTAACCAACTCTTTCTGCAGGGCCACAAAGCAATCAGTATCACCTAGAAGCAAATCCTGAACTCAAACTCTTTCATTTCTATGTCCAAGATGGGCTCTATTTTTAGTGACTGGCCCTTCTCGTGTAAGATGCCCCATTAGTTCATTTCCAGTAAGGTGGAAGAAGGGACACAGGGCACTGTTCTTAGATCACAGTCTGGGACTAGGTTTCTTTACTTGAAACCCTTGGAAGGTATCACCAGCCACAAATAGCTGCAAATCCTTCAGCTCTGCTGGAAAGTCATTCATCCTGGGCCTGTTCCCGCCCTGCACCCGCTTGCTTTCCTCTCCTGGGGTAGCAAGAGAAAGACAAAAGGAAGAGGAAGGCCTGAGACCCACCCCTCAGAGGGCGAGAAGTTTGGGGGTGTTGGGTGGGGGGCAGGTGAATGTGTTTATTCCTGAAAGCACCATGTGGGCACATACACTCTCTCAGAAAACTCCACAGAGCAACCTTGTCCTTGGCCAGCCCAGCACTCCCCGCCTCTCCTGTCTTAGCCCAGCCAAGTTCCACTGGGCACTCACCAGGTTTTATTTCCAGCAGCCGCAGTTTCGGATCCTCAGGTGGGTGCAATCGTCTCTTCTTACGCCAGCAGCGGGCAGGATATGTGTACAGCTGGCCTGGGGCAAGGCCTGTGGACAGAGATGATATAAAGGTTAAAGGCTCCAGGCTGGATGGGGCCTTGGAAACCATCCTGTCTGACCTTCTCAATCACAGTGAGAATGAGGCCCAGAGAAGTGAAGGGGCACGTCAAGGTCACACACCTGGTAGATGGTGGAGCCCAGGCAAAATCTAGGCCCCCTGACCCCAGGACCCTGGGGTTCTAACTGTTCTACATTGCTGTCTCAGTAGGCACATGCCAAAAGTGAGCCATCATAGTTACCAAAATCAGTTCTGCTCTCTTAGCCTAGGGAGAAGATCAGTGAGACCTCAAACCACAGGAGGGACTTTTCCAGATTTATCCCCATCATGGTGTTTTCAAGGCAGTGTATTATGTCCAGCTACTGCCCATCAACTGCCCCTCTGCCCAGGCCAAGCAGGTGCCCTTCAAGGTGGAGCAGCAGGAGTCATGCTGTCTACCTGAAGACAGCCTGGATGGGGAAACATCTCAAGGAAACAGAGTCAAGCTGCCAGATCTCCTACCCACTGGCTTCTTCCACCCACTGACAGCTGCTGGCAGTTCGCTGAAGCCGAAGGGAGTCCCTGGCAACCTCCTTCAGATTATAAGCCTCTCCTGGGAGCAGGCTCCATGCCTGCACAGCCGGCATATCTGTACATGCCTGCCTGAAGTGAAGTGAAAGTCGCTGTCATGTCCGACTCTTTGCAACCCCTGGACTATACAATCCATGGAATTCTCTAGGCCAGAATACTGGAGTGGGTAGCCTTTCCCTTCTCCAGGGGATCTTCCCAATCCCCTGGGATCGAACCCAGGTCTCCCTCATCACAGGATGATTCTTTACCAGCTGAGTCACAAGGGAAGCCCACATCCCTGTCTGGGCTTCACCAAAAAGAAACAGGCTGGAGTCCAGGGCTGGGCTTATGGATCACACGGTCTCCCAACAAGAACCTCCACTTGGATTTGGCCTTTGACATGAAAGCGCCACACCTGCATCATGTGTCAGGCCGAGCACCCTATGAGGAGCCTTCCTGCTCATCAGCCAACACTCTTGGGGCTCACGTGGCACTGTGTGGCATCCAGATGCCTTGGAAGAACGTGGACTTCCCACACTAGACCCTGGTCTGTTCCCAGAGAAGAGGGCAGGGGGTGGAGGCTGAGGGCAGGGGAAGAGGGCTGAAGACTGGTTAGGTGNTGGCATCCAGATGCCTTGGAAGAACGTGGACTTCCCACACTAGACCCTGGTCTGTTCCCAGAGAAGAGGGCAGGGGGTGGAGGCTGAGGGCAGGGGAAGAGGGCTGAAGACTGGTTAGGTGATCTGCAGATTGAAAAGCCTGCCCGATGCACCCCCAAATAAACCAGCAAGTCAACTGACCCACCCCCACCATTAGAGAGAAAAGCCAGGTGAACACAGGGACTTGGTTTCGTTCACGTTAGAATCCCCAGAACTGGAACTGTGGCTGACACAGAGAAGAATCAAATGAAACATTTGCCAAATGAGTGAGGGAAAGAATATATTCCAGTTCACATTCACGGAAGTCACAACTCTGTCTTCTGTAGATAAACGTGGCACATGACAACTGTTAGAGACAGGTAGCCCCCCATAAAAGGGGCCCTTCCTAGACCTCGGACCATGGGTACAAAGCATCAGGACCCTTTTCCCATCTTCTGTCTTCCATTTTGGGGCTTTTAAAGTTAAGAGAGGGCCTTCCCTGGCAGTCCAGTGGTTAAGATTTCACCTTCCAATGGCAGGGCTTGCAGGTTCAATCCCTGGTCAGGGAGCTAAGATTTCACATGCCTCAAAGTCAAAAAACCAAAACATGAACCAGAAATTGCAGCAGAGCCAATGAAGATTTTAAAAATGGTCCACATCAAAAAGTCTTTTAAAAATTAAAAATAAAGCTAAGAGAAAAACTGCTTTCATTTTTGCATTTTTTTAGAGAAAAATCTACAAAACTTTCACTGTTATCCCTCCATTCATTCATTTTTCATTTGTGCTGTCATCTCTACCCATACACTGGTTTGGGTCCAAAGCAGAGGCAACTACTCCAGCATTAAAGGAGACAAAATTTTGTTTTGTTTGAAAAGTGAATGAATTTGATTCCTATAAATGGGTGCATTGAGTTGGAGTCCCTTCCAGATGTTTTGACCATTGCTGGGGCCGGTGTTCCTCAGGACCCCAGAGAAGGCCAAGTATAAGGGGTGGCCCGCTGCTCCACATACCAGAACTGGTCCCGTAATCCCCCCTTATCTTGGATGAGCAATTCTTAATCCAGGCTGAAGCCAAAACTCACCTGGAGAGCTTACTAACACCAATGCCCCAAACCATGCCAGAGGTACCCTGTCCACACGGAGGTGTAGAGGGATCTGAACACCTCTTTGTTTTAAAGAACTTTATAGACTGTCATAATATCTGACAAAGAAACTCTGGATGTCTAAGCACCATCGAGTTACTACTTGGGTGCCCCATCTGATGTACCAAGACCAGTCTAATCGTTTTTCCAATAGGATCCCAAAGATCCCTGTAGTTTTCCAAAGCCATTGTCATTAACTGCTTGCTTACTAGACTATCATTCCCACTGGTTTAATAAGATGCAAGGTGGAAGGAGCCATGTCCATCTCAAGTATCCCCAAAGCTTAGCACAGTGTCTGGCAGGCACATCAAGAAACCCTTATCAAATATTAATAAACTCAACCAGAATGGTTGAGTTTCAGAAACACAGGAAGTGGATGACCCTTGGTTCCTGTTGTTCCTGACTCCAGGAGACTCCTCCACCCGCCTCCAAACCATCCAAGAGGGACTCGTTCCACTGAACACAGAACCCACCCCACCCACCCCAAGAAGGGAGTCTCTGTGCTGCAGGCTCCTTCTTGCCCCACAGGCTGCTTCCATAGTACTTCCACTTGACCAAAAGCAGGTCCGTGAGAAGGAATTTGTCCCGACCAGCACACTCAGAAAGGTCTAAGTGACCAGAGGTCGAAAACATTAGCTCTTGTCCAAGTCCTCCACCCTCCCTGAGGCTGCCATCACCACACTGCCTGGTCAGCTGCCTTGGGCCACTCAGCTGCAGGTTCATTCTCCCGGGAGAGTCCATTTTAGGAAGTAGTTTGAATGCCCAGAAGAAGGGACTGTCTTTATTTCCTTCTGTAACTTTGTCTAGTGGATGGAGGAGCCCCACAGTGCAGATGACGAGCACGCGTCCTCATATTCCCCTCCCTATCACCTTGGGAATCTCACTATACCTCTCTGAGCCTGTCTCCTCGCCTTAAGATAAAGGCAATGATAATACCTGCCTTACAAGAACTGTAGGAGGATTAGCTTATATTCAAGAAGAAGCTCTTTATAACCATGAAGTCTTGTACAGACATCAGTTCTTAATTATCAGGAGTTAGCTGACTTAGACGAGCCTGGACTTTCTGCCCACGTGGCCCCCATCTGGCCTGATACGGCTGCTCTTTGCTCCTCTAGCCACAGGGTGGGCAACAGGCTCCCCTTTGATGCCTGCTTCAACTTGAATCAACAAGCAAATGCCCCCAAGAGCTCTCTCGGGGCTCCCGCCCCCTTCCTTGCCCTCCTCCCTGGGCTGACAAGCACCAGGGTGCCTTTATAGGGCCAATACATTCAGCCCTGGAGTTCCACTTACACAAGGATGAGCAGAGCCCCGTGAGAGTTATGTTGTTTATCTCATTAGAACAGGAGGCACATAACTCAAAGCCCATGTGTCTGTGTGGTAGATGGAGGAGGGGGTGGGGGAGAAGGAGGCACAGCTGCAGCTGGGGAAATTAACCTGAAGGAGGAAGTCTGGGAATGGGGGAAATGAGATGGATATAGAGGAGAGGAAGGCAGGAGACAAGAGGGGTGACCAGCCTTCCCGGTAACCAAGACCACAGCAACCCCTCCATTCACATACCCCACTGAGCAAACTGCTCTGCTATTACTTTGAGCTGCAACTCCAGGTACACTTATATACAAGTGTGAACACGGCAGACACACACACACACATACACACACACCCACTCAGGAACTCACACACTGGCTGCGGGAAGAACTGGCTCCATAGAAAAATTCAGCAGGATGAGCTGGGTGCCTGCACATGTAAATTGCTTGTCACATGCATGGCCCACGTTCAGCAGGTGGATCCTGAGTGTTATGAGCCTCTCTGACAGACACAGCATGAGCATGTGGAATTTATTTCTCCTTTCCTATCACATCACCAACTAAAATTGCTCGTGGGGAAATGCATTGGTAATACAAAACCATTATAGTAGAGTATAGTAGAGTATAGAAAATGGAGAATCAGATACTGACTAGGACATTCTTTCTAAATTTGTCAGAAATTTTTACAGTATCAACATTATAACGTGAAGTAGGAGCTTAGAATTTATTGGGTCTGATTATTACTTGACACAATAATTGCCGCTACACTATGCCTGCCTTGAGTCTCCACTCTGGCCCCTCTTTCAATAATTCTAGTCCTTACCCTTCCATGAAGCAGTTTGCTATGCTGTTTAAATATTTTATTGTTGGAAATATGTCTACCAATCTCATCCACCACTGGTGAGAATGCAAAAGGGCCCAACCCTCTGTCTGAGTATCCGGTGGCTCAGACAGTAAAGAATCCACCTGCAACGCAGGAGACCCACATTCAGTCCCTGAGTGGGGAAGACCCGCTGGAGGAAGAAATGGTTACCCACTCCAGCATTCTTGCCTGGAGACTTCCATGGATAGAAGATCCTGGCAGGCTACAGCCCATGGAGTCGCAAATAGCAGGACATGACTGAGCAACTAACACTGTGAAAGAAAATTTGGCATATCTAACAAAACTGCATACATGTTGCCCTTTGACCCAGCAATTCCACTTCAGGAATCTCTATCACAGATTCACACATAGAAATAAAAAATATGCATTCATCGTGGTATATTCAATACTAGAAAAAAGGTGAAAACAATCCAATGTCCATTATACAGACCTAGTTGAATAAATAATAGTATATCCTCATAATGAACTATAATGAAGTTATGGAAAGAAGTGGGGGGAGGAGATAGTGGGGGCAGGGGAGTATACACTGCAATGGAATGTATCATTAAGTGGAAAATGTAAGGTAGAGAATAGTGTGCATATTATATTATCATTTCTTTTAACAAATGGGGATATATACACACACAAATGCATATATACTGTGTCTTTACACGGGTTTTTTTTTAATGGAAAGATAAACCAAAAACTATTTTTTAAGTTACTTACAGATAGAAGAAAAACAATAATAGTAACAAGAAGAACAGAAAGTTGTCTATAGAAAGAGGAAAGGAACAGGGAAAAGAACAGAAATGGAAGAAGGCTAAACTCTCCCTCTGAATATACCACACGTTGTAGAGTTAACTTTAAAACCAGTAAATATCTGATATTATTACAAAGGAAAATTAAAATAGAAAGGCAAACTAAGATCATGGCATCTAGTCACATCACTTCACGGCAAATAGATAGGGGAAACGTGGAAAC